ACCTTAAAGTAGAAACCTGCTCATAATTTTTGAGAAAGTTGGTCTATGTTCATCAGTTTATTATGTAAAATCATTGGGGTATTAAACTCATGGTGCAAAGAAATAGCATTCTTTTGCATGTTACAATAATGTATTTTGAGAAAATTGCATTTTTTGACACTTTTTAAAACCCAGATTTGTCAAATAATGCAGTATAAAAAGTGCCTGAACATTCAAAATAAATGATTTTTTAAGTTACCTGTCTACAATTGAGATATGACATAATATCTCATAAAATGAATAAATTCTGGGTAATTGCATTTATGAGTAGGCTTCTACCTTAAGTTCAGTGAGCTGGTGAGTTATAAATATTCATTAAACACCTCCTATATCTTGTGAATCAGTTTTGAAACACAAAATGTTCACATTTCTACAGTTATTCAGAAGACCACTAGAAACTGATGAATTTTCAGTATGAGAAATTTCAATTTAAGGGTGTTCTAATAGTTTGGAGTCAACTCTTGACAAGAAAAGGTGTTCTACTGTGTATAAACTGACACTGCAATCTAGAAAAAACAGTTACTATTTTCAGCATAATGTAAATGACTATTTATGTATCTTCTATATATATATACATATATAAAGAGTTTTGTTTTTTTTACAAAATAAGAATAACACTGATACAATATTTATACAATACTAATCAGTCTTGTACATAAATTAATCATATTTGGTAAATAAAAATATTTCTTTTCTTTCACTGTTTCCATGGAAACCCTCCCAAGATTCAGCATGATGTCTTGAAAGAACAGCACACTCTGCCTCTCTGAAATTACAAGACAGATAGATTACATGTAACATACATAGTAGCAGTCTGCTTTGGTTTTCAGAAACAAATCTATTAACGGTAAGGCTGAGAAAAAAAATATTTCTGTTTCTCGTTTCTGCATGCATCATTTTGAACTATGCGCCTCAGACATTTTTTTCCTTCCAAAGCATTCCTAAATGCACTTGTACTTGTCTCAAATTGCCCCCATTTTATCTCAGTATTCAAAAAAAAAAAAAAAAATCGCCTCGATTTCCATGAAACGAGAAACAGCGAATTTTTTTTTTCCTGGCCTGGCTGGTGTTTACATGTTAACAAGATCAGGTGTGTGGTACAATATTGAACTGAGCCAAAAATATGAGATGCAAAATCCCAATGGTGCATTTCTAGAAAAAAATGTTCAACAGTTGTCACATGTTGTTATTTTCTAGTGTATTTCCCTTCTCAGATTGTATTACGTGTTTATTAGCCTTTTTGAATATGCGAATAACCTCACTCATTTCTCTTCATGCAATCAAACTTTTTTAGCATCCACTGCACTGTGTGGTGCACTGGTCAATTTCAAACCATTTTGTACACATTTTATGCTGATGTCATCACCACTTTCAATGATGTCATCAGAAATGAGATACTTACCCTACAAATACACTCTGAACAGGAATCATCATTCATCTCCCACCTTTCACCTTCATAATACTCAATACCATTTTGTACACAGTTAATGCTGATGTCATCACCACTTCTAATGATGTCATCAGAAATGGCTATACTGCATATATCTTCTAAGCATATTGGACAGCACTCTCCAACTGTACTAACTGTAGTTTCACAGTTTAACTTCGGGCAGCGTTTCTCTGTGCATTCAATTCTTCCATTCTATGAACAAGTATTAATAAAATATTATTAAAATCAAAAGCGTTTTTAAATATAAATAGAGTAACATGCAGTTCTACATTCCCCAATATGCTATATTGTATAAAACTATGAAGTGATTACTGAAACATGAAAACTTTATAATAGGATGCGTTTAGATATAATGCATTATTTAATATACAAATAAGCATGGTGTGTTATTCACACTTTGTACACAATGACTGGTTATAATAATATATGATTCTCCAGACATTAGAAAGCAGGTAGCTATTACAATCTCTACAGTCCCGCTTAAGGGAAGAATGAGCTGTATATGGCCAGTTTGTTTGATGTCTGTATGGCCAGTCTGATGGACGTTAGTATGGCCAGTCTGATGGATGTCAGTATGGCAAGTCAAATGGACGGCAGTACGGCAAGTCAAATGGACGGCAGTACGGCAAGTCAGATGGACGCCAGTACGGCAAGTCAGATGGACGCCAGTACGGCAAGTCAGATGGACACCAGTACGGCATGTCAGATGGACGCCAGTCCGGCGAGTCAGATGAACGCCAGTACGGCATGTCAGATGGTCGCCAGTACGGCAAGTCAGATGGACGGCAGTACGGCAAGTCAGATGGACACCAGTACGGCATGTCAGATGGTCGCCAGTACGGCAAGTCAGATGGACACCAGTACGGCAAGTCAGATGGACGCCAGTACGGCATGTCAGATGGACGCCAGTACGGCATGTCAGATGGACGCCAGTACGGCATGTCAGATGGACGCCAGTACGGCATGTCAGATGGACGCCAGTACGGCAAGTCAGATGGACGGCAGTACAGCAAGTCAGATGGACGCCAGTACGGCAAGTCAGATGGACGCTAGTACGGCATGTCAGATGGACGCCAGTACGGCAAGTCAAATGGACGCCAGTACGGCAAGTCAAATGGACGCCAGTACGGCAAGTCAGATGGACGCTAGTACGACATTTATTTGCTCACAATGACATATGAATAATAGTTAGCATTTTTAAATTTGAAACTTACTATACATTGACAGCGCTGACACTGATAGTCCCATGAATCACCACTATCATAAACAACTGGACTTGACTGATGTAAACATTGACCCTTGAAGTCACAATGTGGACAGCAAAACAAATTTACAGAGTCAGAATCACAGTTACAAACTTCTGGTGTGCATGCTGTCACACCGTTCTGGAGAAAATAAATAACATTTGTTAATATAAACAATAAATATTGTTTGATTCAAGCAAATAATTAATAGAAAATGCAAAAATAATCAGTGAATAATTCATAGTGTTAGTTTCAACTTGACCTTGAAAGTATGGGGAAAATATTTGGACCATCAAACAAACTTGAAATATCTCATATTCTTTTGATGTACATAGCTAAAACGTAATTGTAAACATCCATAACATTTCAATCACGATATGCCACAAGGGATGTACCAGTACTTGACACATATAATATACTCCCACAATGCAACACTACAAGTAGTTTTGAACCAGTGAGCAGACTGAAACTGACAGCAAAATTGTTGACAGCAAACATATTTTTCCTTAATGCATGGTTTTTCAATCAAAATCTAATCAAATTTGGTAACGATTATGCTTCAGTTTCATTTGAACTAGTATGAAAGCTTTTGAGATATCACTGAGAATATTTCAATGAATTGAAGCTCACCTCACATCTGCAGTCATAACATTCATTGTCTGGATGATTAAAACGTTGTCCATTACGATACTCGTATCCTTGATATAGACACCTACTACTACAGCTGTCCATGTTGTTACATTGGCACTGATATCCTCCTTCTTCATTAACACAAACCATATCAAGCTGACACGTATGACTACCACCAATGTTACGACACTCATCCGCATCTGAAAAAGTAAAAATAGGCTGAATTAATAGAAACATTGTGGGTGGAACAAATGCAATTATTTCAATTACTTTTGTTCTTTGAGATTTGTCTCTAAAAATAACATTGCTGTAATTTTTTTGTGACACAATTCTGAAATTTGTGCAACATTTTTCAAGTATGTAGATTCTTATTCTGTCCATGGCCAAAGTAGGATACTTTTCTTGTTTTTCCCCTATGTGTAAGTCTACTCCAGCTCTTTCCCCTGATTGTGTCAAGTCATGTGTATCTAACTAAAACAGGATGCTTCCCCTCCCTCCCTCCCCTGATTGTGTCAAGTCGTGTGTATCTAACTAAAACAGGATGCTTCCCCTCCCTCCCCTGATTGTGTCAAGTCATGTCTACCTAACTAAACAGGATGCTTCCCACTCCCTCTCCTGATTGTGCCAAGTCTACCTACCAATGCAGGATGCTCCCAGGTCGAGATGAGGGTCACTTTCACTATAGTATCCAGTCTTACATTGACAATAATAACTTCCGGGTAAGTTGATACATACTGAGTTGCTATGGCAACCATGATTATTTGATGCACACTCATCTACATCTGTCATAAACAAAAACACAGGTAATGGTAAATAAACAAGGTTTGCAATGTTTGTATCAAGGGCTAATATCATCTGACACAACATGCATATAAATAGAGACTGCCCTCACCATCAATTTCATCAAAGAGGGATCATATGTGCTGGTAATTTAAAGGGTGGTGGTCGTCACGCAGCATGTATTCAAATTTCATGTAAACAAACATTTTTACATGCGTTGTGTATGTCGCTTTGAGTCCCATATCAAACATAACATGTCACGGCGACCACCTCCCTTTAATGCAACTTTCACAGAATCAATTATTCCAGACTCATGCACTGGTTAATCTTAAGCTTCCCTCAAATTATCATTTGTTGACGATTGTCTTGCATTATCACAGAAGCTCAGAAAATGTAATTTCTTCAGTTTATTTGTGAGGAGGATGTTGAGCTGATTTCATTTGCTGTATGAAAAATGTACCAAAGAAAATATACACCTACACACACAAATAAAACACACTGTGTGAACATTTTGATGAAATATACATTAGTTATAATCAGCGATGTAGCAAAAGCAGCCAGGTTGCATATCAGTTACGTGACCACACACACACACACACACACGACTTCAAAATTGCCTAGCACATTAACAGCTGAAAAGTAAGCAATACACTTTTTGCGGAAGCTGCTGATTATTTTGCACTATTCAAATATTGCTTGAAGGAGGGGTGTAGACATAAATGAAAAAAAAAAAAATTTCTGAGCAACTGCACCAAAGCAAGACCAGCACTGATGAATGAATATTGTCCATTGGTTTTGGCTTCCCAATAGACAAGTTTTGAGTTAGAGCGTCATCAGTCTGTTGGGTGGGTTGATTTCTAGCTCGAGCAATTTATTTGTTTTTTTCCCCTAGTTCCCAGCACTCTGATGGTTTCTATGGTAACAATCAAACTACAAATTTTCTATTCAGTCTATGATGCAGGATTCACTACTGACTGTCAACAATGATCACTAATTAATTTACTCTGAAGAAAACAGTTTTAAATTACCATGCTTGCATCTCAGTTTCTATGGTAACGATCAAACTACAAATTTTCTATTCAGCCTGTGATGCAGGATTCACTACTGACTGTCAACAATGATCACTAATTAATTTACTCTGAAGAAAACAGTTTTAAATTACCATGCTTGCATCTCAGTTTAATGATTTAGTGGTGTGATACCTATAAAACACCCACCTGTTTGACAGTAACTGCCCACATATCCAGCAGGACACCAACATATATCAGGAGCTACACATCTACCACTGTTTATACACAGTGGACTACACACAGCTGAAAGTGTACAGATAAAATATTAGAATCTCCTGTCAATATAAACACTTTTTATATATTAGCAGTTAAATTCTGACTTTTACATCAGTGTCAAACAT